TGCTGAAAGTTAATTCATTTGGGTGCTTTTGATTCCTCTTGATCAAATGGATTTATTTTAACCATGGGAGGCATGGAGGAAGCAAAAGGGAACAGTATCTGCAGAGTTGGAGCACTATAATACTATAAACTGGTCAAGGTGCAGCTGCTCTAATGCATCTCAGGCATGAGAGAATGGGACATGCACATGGCCAGGAGGGAGCAAAAGGGAGTCGTTAGTTCCTTAAACTTGGCTTTGGCTTCTGGTGGACCCATCCTATTAACCGCTGGGGTGCCAGGAGTGATCAGTGCGCTGGGATGAGCTGAAGTCCAGCCCGGGATAGTTGTGGGCAGGATGGCACATTTACAGGTCTTTGCTTTAGCATTAGCAAATCAGGTGGGAGTGTTTAATCTATTAATGCTTGTCAGGAAAAATGTTTTAGCTTCACCATTAGGACCTGGAAGCACCTATCCAAAGATGTAGGTGGCTGGAACTATAGAAGAGGCCTCACTGGTATCTCCAGCAACAGAAACTCTGGGCTGTGCAAAGCAGTTGCTACCCTTTCCTTGGAAGCGTTGCTGAGATAGTTCAGCATTGATTTATATGCTCTTACACCAGGGTGTATGGGCTTTCCAGCACAAAGTGTTTTCCAACGAGGCACAGGGTAAGCTGGGTGCAAACAGCATCATAAAGTGCAGCTTTCTGCAACTTTGCTGCCAACGCTGCCTTGTGTTTCCTATAAATAGGCCAGTAAATCCTATTGCTGTTAAATTTATCAGATGGTGGAAGAGCAGTTAGGAACAGGAGAAGATTCACAGTAGGGTACAGCTGATAAAATAGTCTGCTACCAGCTCTTCAGGCCGGTATGATTCCCTTACAGTAGGACTGGGGAACAGCAGTTTTCCCTTGCTCACAGCAGATGCTGTTGCATGTCTTTCATGTTGAGACATTTGGTACCCAGAAGCATTCAGGAGGGGAGAAGAATTGTAAAATCATAGAATGGTCTGGGTTGGAAGGGACCTTAAAGCTCATCCAGTTCCAACCCGCTCTACGCTGCCAGGGATGGGGCAGCCACAGCTTCTCCGGCCAACCTGTGCCAGCGCCTCAGCACCCTCACAGTAAAGAATTTCTTCCTTATATCTAATCTAAATCTTCCCTCTGTCAGTTTAAAGCCATTCCCCCTTGTTCTGTCCCTACCTGCTCTTTCTAAAACTCCCTCTCCAGATTTCTTGTTGGCCCCTTCAGGCACTGGAAGCTCCTCTGAGGTTGCCCCAGAGCCACCTTTTCTCCAGGCTGAACAAGCCCCGCTCTCTCAGCCTGTCTCCACAGGATAATCAATGCCAACAAGCATCATTGGTTTCATTCTTTAGTCATGAGAGGTTGGAGCTTAAGATTTAAACCCTATCCTTCTGTGTGGAATTTGGAGTCTTTGATTATCTGATTGATATTTCTAC